CCCCCCCCATCAACCCAGTCACATCCTGGGTTCAAAAGATCCCACCAGGTTTGGGGCTGCAAAGGACTTCAAAAACTGACCTGTCCAACCTCTTCCTTTTTATATCGATTTTTTGAATTATCAATTACCCACACACGTCACAACAAATCTGAAAGGGAACGACAGTCATAAAAAAGATAAAAAAAAATCTCTCGGAATCCCACCACCAAGAGGTAAAGATTTTGCTCACAGCCTCCCTTTATAAGTGGAGAAACAGGCCCAGAGAAGGAAAGTAACTTGTTCAAGGTCACACAGCGAGGGAGATGTTGGGACAAGAAGCCAAGTCTCTGGCCCTTGTCTGTGTGGTCTCCCTGAAACCTGGTGGTTCTGAACCAACAGCCTCTTGCCCACATTTCCACCACCAGTACCCTTTCCCACCCTCCTTCTCAACAGGGACCCAACCTCGTCTCAGCTATATACAAGGACCATTAAAGTCAAGAACGCTGTCACTGATGCTGTGCCTGATGTAGCACACCTCAGAGACAAAGCAGCCCCAACTACAGCGTCTCCCGGACAACCTCGTGCCACTGCTCTGTCCCATTTAAAGGACACCTATGTCAGTGAGGCATAAAGCTCTGTCTTCCCAATTCTCTCTGTCAAGAGGCTGGACTGCAAATCACCCGCCTCCCCAACCCCAGAGAAGGTCTGGGTGCCTGAGGAGAAAGGGGGGGGCATGTAAAATTGCAAGCTGAAAAAAATGGTTCTTTTATAATATGAGAGACTCAAGGTAGACCTCAGAAAGGACTTCCAGGTGGGAGAGATGATTGTGGAGAACGGTGTAGGGGAGAGGAGTGTGCAAATAGGAGCCCCCCACTATCCAGAGCCAGGGCAACTAATGGCCAGAGTCCACAAGGACAGTGCAGCAAGAGTGACAGGGGGACCCTGGAGGCTGGGGAAGGGGGGAGCAGCAAGTTGCTTCTTCGTGGGCCCAGGACTGTTCTCCAGGCTCCAAGCAGGGAGACGAAGCCTGCTAGCAGGCCAGGCTGCTACAGAGCTTCCTCTGGGAGAGATGCTGGGTCTCCACCATTCCCCTGATTGCTCCCACCCAGCCCCAAAATCCGACTCAGACCCAACCTGGGTCAGCTTGGGGGTGGGGGTGGGGGTGGGGGGCG